AAATCTGACTTCAATCCTCTAAACAAGATCTTTATTGCTAGCTGTGAAATTAAGCACATGTGCCAGCCTTAAATCCTAGTAACTAGCTGGCAGTAGGAAGTTACCTTCTTGATCATGAAATTAAACTCATACAGCCTAGGAGCCAGCCTGCAAAATTCCCATAGCCTAATAAAATCTTGTAGACTAATGCGCAGTAAACAATTTCTAGAAGCAACTAATGACACTTGACACTTTGCAGTAATTAGTCCGCAACATGTTCTATTATTAGGAAATTATGATCTCTTTTGCCTATCAAGTCCATTTTTTAAGGTCAGTTTTTCCCTATCAAATCAGCACAGTTAACAAAACACAAGTCCATATTGAGAAGGCTCCAAGAAATTTTCAAGTCAGTTTACAATCGCTTACCTGGTTGGTGTTAAATTCATAATGAAGAAAATTGTGGACAAGACCCTGTCATAGACCTAGTTAAGCAATCTCAAGAGTATTGACAAAACCACAAATTAGTTCATACAATTTGTTCAAGTAACCAACAGGATTAAGAAAGAATGCAACAGAAGGGAAGGCAATTAATTTTTTAATTAGCACCACCTAGTAAATATGAAGTAAATGAAAATTACAAAATCTTCTATGTTTCACATAATGAAGATCAATTGTATTCATCTCTTAGAATTGATATAAGCCCAACATCCAAATTTGAAAAAGGAAAGAAAGACCAGAATATGAAAGTACCAAGGTTTTAAATATCGGATATCGGGGAAATATCGGATGACCAAAATTCATATCGGATTGCGGATATCGGGGAAATATCAGGGATATGTGGTAAATATCGGAATGCCATAATGAATGTTTGCATACATAGTATAATGCATTAAAATGTAATCTCAACATATGTAATGAAATTTAAGCATACAAAATATGAATAATATATGTTTAGGATCACTAATCAACCTTCTAAAACAAATAAAAGTGCAAAGCAACGTTGCAACATTAGATCTACTTTTTTTAGGGAAAAATGTCATTTGATATAATGGGGAAATCTTGATATCTCGCCCAAAAATTCCAAACACGGTATATTATTTTGCAACAAACTATATAAAAAGATATATTGGTCCACATATCGGCTAATATATCGGCCATATCAGGGATTTATCACTCAAAATAGCCAAAAAGCGGTAAAGGATATTTAAAGACCATATCGGTTACAGCAAGCCCAGTAAAAGGATATATCAGGGGATATATCGGGTCATGTCGGGGATATTTAAAACAATGGTATGTTAGGTATATTTAAAATTGAGTTTAAAAAGATTTCATTTAGGGTTTGCTCTTTTGAATCAAATTGGATTTGAAGTCTATCAACCAGTTCATCAAGCTTCACATCTTGGGGCCTAGTTAAGTTCCTGATGAGAAACTCTGCAATTTCTTTGCACATATTAGTGTCTGCATCTTAAACAAATACACGTGTTTATACATAAGAAGATTTATACATATGATGCAACCTACATCCAAACTAATAATGTACGAAAACTTGTTCCAGTTGGTATAGTACTGCAAAGGTTGTATGCTACCCTATTGTCAAAGATGACTTTATAGTTCCCAGCACAAACTTGACAGTGACGACAAAGCAGTCAACTAGATAATAGCTATGAAGCAGAAGGTACCACAAAATATTTGAACAAAAAAACATGACAATCAAATCTGACTTCAATCCTCTAAACAAGATCTTTATTGCTAGCTGTGAAATTAAGCACATGTGCCAGCCTTAAATCCTAGTAACTAGCTGGCAGTAGGAAGTTACCTTCTTGATCATGAAATTAAACTCATACAGCCTAGGAGCCAGCCTGCAAAATTCCCATAGCCTAATAAAATCTTGTAGACTAATGCGCAGTAAACAATTTCTAGAAGCAACTAATGACACTTGACACTTTGCAGTAATTAGTCCGCAACATGTTCTATTATTAGGAAATTATGATCTCTTTTGCCTATCAAGTCCATTTTTTAAGGTCAGTTTTTCCCTATCAAATCAGCACAGTTAACAAAACACAAGTCCATATTGAGAAGGCTCCAAGAAATTTTCAAGTCAGTTTACAATCGCTTACCTGGTTGGTGTTAAATTCATAATGAAGAAAATTGTGGACAAGACCCTGTCATAGACCTAGTTAAGCAATCTCAAGAGTATTGACAAAACCACAAATTAGTTCATACAATTTGTTCAAGTAACCAACAGGATTAAGAAAGAATGCAACAGAAGGGAAGGCAATTAATTTTTTAATTAGCACCACCTAGTAAATATGAAGTAAATGAAAATTACAAAATCTTCTATGTTTCACATAATGAAGATCAATTGTATTCATCTCTTAGAATTGATATAAGCCCAACATCCAAATTTGAAAAAGGAAAGAAAGACCAGAATATGAAAGTACCAAATTTGACTGATCCTTTTTTTAATTTGACTGATCCTTTTTTTCTAACTAACGCAAGGGAAAAGTTAGTAACTACTATATATTATTCAGCAGAATTGTAGGTTCACCTAAGAACAAGTCCAAGCTCAGGTAACCTTTTGGACAAACTATCCACGAGATAGGGCATGGCTACAAGTTCAATCTCCAAACTAGGTTAGTAGCTCATTCAGATAAAGACAACAACAATACTAAGGTTTCCACTACAAATTTCGGTAGGCTACAAGGAACACTTGTCAGCAGCTAAGAAATTTCAAAAAATTTTCATTCAGTAGTTTGTCTATCAGATTTTTGATGGTTGAGATCTCCCCTTTGTATGTTGCAAGGTTTTAAATATTGGATATCGGGGAAATATCGGATGGCCAAAATTCATATCGGATTGCGGATATCGGGGAAATATCGGGGATATGTGGTAAATATCGGAATGCCATAATGAATGTTTGCATACATAGTATAATGCATTAAAATGTAATCTCAACATATGTAATGAAATTTAAGCATACAAAATATGAATAATATATGTTTAGGATCACTAATCAATCTTCTAAAACAAATAAAAGTGCAAAGCAACGTTGCAACATTAGATCTACTTTTTTTAGGGAAAATGTCATTTGATATAATGGGGAAATCTTGATATCTCGCCCAAAAATTCCAAACACGGTATATTATTTTGCAACAACCTATATAAAAAGATATATTGGTCCACATATCGGCTAATATATCGGCCATATCAGGGATTTATCACTCAAAATAGCCAAAAAGCGGTAAAGGATATTTAAAGACCATATCGGTTACAGCAAGCCCAGTAAAAGGATATATCAGGGGATATATCGGGTCATGTCGGGGATATTTAAAACAATGGTATGTTGGGTTCCTCAATTGAGTTTAAAATTGACTTGAAGCGTCAGTGAATTCATGAGATCATGACTAAGGCCATAAGTTGTTGTATTCCCTGTTAGCTACACAACTCAAGCTAAAAGATTAACGCAGCATATAATTTGGCAGTAAATATATCTACTGCATAATATAGACTGCATTAAATAGGCTTTAGACATAGAGAAATGGCATGCTACACCAAAAGCAAGCATTTTTATGGTTTTGACAAAAATAAAGTAGGTGGACCTGGGCAGCCACCCGGCTGCTTTTTACAAAGTGCCTTCTATATTATCTATGCAGACATGTGACCGGGAATAATCTACTGGTGGAGCTCTTCTTTGTATGTTGACAATAAATTTATCTGATGCATACTACAAACTGCATTAAGTGCGCTTAAACATAGAGAAATGCCGTGCTACACCAAAAGCAAACATTTTTATGGTTATGACAACAAAAAAAAACTAGCTGGACCTGGGCAGCCGTCTGGGTACTTTTTACAATGTGCCTTCTATATTATCTATACAGACATGTGACAAGGAATAATCTACTGGTGGAGCTCGGCATGCTTAGAATATTCAGGGTAGAACTAGACAATGTCCTGATTTAGAGCTTAAGTTGTGCTCAGGCTGCTGTATCATATTCAGGCCACAAAGTAGTTTATTACATCTACAAAGGATAATATGAAACAGAAGTTGACAGGATCAGATCTTCTTTTAGGAAGAGAGAAAACAGGCATTGTAAATAGGAGATATGGAGAAACTTCATACCATGTCAAAATCAAAGGTTTTTATATTCTAGGCAACAAGTCACAAATTTCTAAGGTTATCGATAGCGGATAGCGTCGCGTAGCGGTGAGGCATCGCTAAGACTATTTCGGGCTATTGCGGCAAAATAGCGGTAAAAAACGCAAAGTCAAATAGCGGTCTAATTTAGATATGTATAAATACTAAAAAAATCAAAGAAAAATCTAAAAAAAAATCTAAAAGTACATATTGGATGATTTAAAGAGATCATAAACACGAAATAGACATGTAACCATCACGTAATACCGAAAATGACTGGATGAGTCAAAAAATCGTCGTCTTCGAGAAGAAGAGCTTAGCGGTGACAGGACTGCCCTAAGAGGAGCTCACGGTGAAGAAGGTGAGAGGAAGTATCAAGATAGGTGTCAGAGGATATGAGAGCTGACGGGAGTATGCTAAAAATCACAGGAGACGGTGGAATGCAATGGTCAAGAGTTGAATTTAATTTTAAAAAATAAGCCTCAAACCGTATTTAAATAGCAGTCAAAAAGCAAATTTCGAATACAATCGCTCACTATTTACCGTTATGACACACTATTAGCCGCTTTTGTGAACAAACATATTCCGCAATATGTCACCGTTATTGTGTGATAGCGTAGCGGGTGATAGCGTAGCGGGTGATAGCGTCGCGGGAAGGGACCGCTAACGCTATTAGCGCCGCTATTGCGGGGCTATTTACCGCTATTTATAACAGTGCAAATTTCTTTTGTGAAACTTGATGATGTTTTCTCATACTTTGTGTTGTGTGAAGAATTCAAGAAAACCCACAAATTTTCTTGAGTATGTATTACTAAGGCATGTGTAAAATAAGAAAGCTAGTTAAAACATGATAGTGCAATAAAGCAAAATAAAAATTTCCACTCACCCGGGCAGCTCCTTTCTTGTGAGCATGATAAGTTTCTCCATCTTTATTCTCTCCGTACCAGTAATAGGTCTCGGATTTTTCATCAAACAGAATTCCTCCGCCATGAGCTTGAATAGGATTCCCGTCAGTGTCTAACCAGATCCTGGCCGGATAAAAATGCATGCTATAATTCCCTCCCTTTCTCGGGTCTACAGCATTCCTCCTACCAGGGAAAAAGAAAGGCCTCATATCAGAAGCTTCATCTAAGAATTCATCAATTGCAGTCGGTGGCTTTCGAGGCCCTCGTCTTAAAACAGCACGTGGAGATCTCTTTCCTCTAGGAGGTGGGATTTGAAAGTTCTCTTCTTCAACCTCTTCTAACTCTCGGGTAACCATGTGATTGCTCAATTTCACTTCAGTCTCCTCCTGGTCATTATGGTGTATAATGTGGTAGAAATGGATCATAAGGACGCATCCTACAAAGCCCCAGATAATAAAAGTAAGCAAACTAAGAGAGTATTTGCTTCCTGCATTCGAACAGTAAGCTGATGGTTTCCGGTGCTTGTTCCTCATCCTTGTCCTCTCTCTTAATTAATCTCCAATGAAATTTCTGCAGTGAAAAGGAAAACAGCATATATGATCCAAGAAGCACCTAATCTATATATTTTGTTGCAACGGTTGAAATGAATGAGTCCATGAAATTACAGAAAAATGTAGCTGTCTGAAGAAACGGAATAAGAAGAACAGAAAAATTTTAGCAGTGAACTGAAATTAGTAAAATTAAGCAAAGCGAAACTCATGCGATGAAGCCAAATGAGCAGTGAACAGCACAAGAAACGTCTCTAGAGCCAGAATCTGGACTATATCAACAATATTAACAGAAGTAATGTGTCCTCCAGCTTAATTCAGAATTCAACAGGCTCAGAACACTTATTTCCAACTAAACACATCTGATATTAATATTCTCATCAATTCGGCGAATCAAAATATCAATCATATAGAACAATTGAAAATAACTTTAATGGGTTTACTAACACAGTGAAGTTGGAAAATTATCTAAAAAAAACCCTTGCAATAAAGAGTCCCCAAAAAAATCCTTATAGCAAATTAATAGTAAACCCATCAATCTAACGAGCTTCAGAAACCCAAAACCCAGCTCGAGAACGGAATCAATAGCTATTTAGACAAAAACACGTCTAACAAAAATCTAAATAAACAATACCCATTAAAGCAATCAAAACAAAGAAAATTAAAATTACCCATAATAGCAAATTAATAGTACTTACTGTGAGAACCTGACCCAGATCTTCGCCTATCCACCATACTAAAAAGAGAATAACTCTAGAAAAGGAGGTCAATTTTCTCCCTTAATCTCTTTCTATCTATAACTATTCCGCTTAGAAAGAAATTTTCTAAATAAACCCATTCATATTTTTTTTTCTAAAAATAGACCTCTTGAGTTTTATTTACAAAAATAGACACATTTTATCTTAATTCGGTTCCTAAATAGTCGGGTTGCCAACCCCGACTATTTAGGAGGTTGTAAATCTCCAATTATAATCCTAAACCCTAACATTTTATGCACTAAATAGTCAGGGTTGGTAATCTGACTATTTAGAAACGGGATTAAGACAAAATAGATCGATTTTTATAAAAAAAACTTAAAAGGATCTATTTTTAGAAAAAAAAATATGAATAGATTTGTTTACAAAATTTCTTCAATTCGCTTATCTCCCTCTCTCACGACCAGCCAACCTCCAAAGTACAGTGACTGTTTGTTAATAATTACTCAATAAGATCTCAAAGAAAAACCCTTGGTTTTGTTTCTGGAGTGATCACCTGTCCCTTTTGTGAGGTTAGCAAGGGCTAAGCTGTAGCTTAGAATCAAAGTATGCATGTGCCAGGCTTAGTTATCA